ATATGCATTTCTGATTCGGTTCCTCTCTAAGGTGCAACTCTGCCCTGCCTTCTTCCTGACTTCAGACTAACACAGCGAACTATCCCGTGATTGTTAAAGCAGTGTCCACATCCACACTTCAGGGGATGTTCTCCCAGTACAGAGGTGCTTTACATGGCGGAGAGAAGGGATGCAAGTCTGACCGCATTACGAGTCGTACCAACTTAACAAGATCAGGTAAGCAAGAAACCCAAATACGATCCCCCCTCACTTTGTCATCCTGGTACAAAAGCTTCATTCAGACCCGACCTCAGGTTCCTTTGGAAATCCCAGACTTAATTTTCAGAAAAAGGAGCTGCCTGCCCTTTCTTTCCATGTTTTACATGAAGGTGCTGCCCTCTTCACAGAAAATCCAGGTGGAGCCGAGAACGTGACCGACATGGCTCACGCTGCTTCTCCTACAAACATTGTCCATTAGTTCCTCTAACATCCTCCAAATGTGTCCAGACCACGGTGGAGCAGCCTCAGCACACAACAGGCAAGGCTGGGTTAAGTTCAGCATGTGGCCAGTTACGGAGCTAGTGGTTAATGTCCATTCTCCACTTAGCCTCTTTGGTTTGTAGAAAAAGGATAGAGTATGCCCTCCCTACGTTTATAGGCCAGGTTCTCTGGGTAGATGCGATATCTTTTATTGGACCAACTGAATACTTGGAACAAAGTTTTTTGCAAGCTTTTGGGCACTTCTGAATGCCCAAAATGAACTTTGTTCCAACTACTCAGTTGCTCTAAAAAAAAAAAAAAAGAGATCACATCTACCCAAAGCACCTGGCCTGCCCGTGTCCTTGGACCAACACGGCTACAACCAAAAACCCGCCTGACATTTATAACACTTCCACTTTGATCACCAGTGTGTGTATATGAGAGTATGTGTGCACGTGTGTGCACATGCATGTGTGCGCATGTGTACAAGTAGGATTGTGAGTGTGTGAGAGTATGAGAGTGTGTGTATTCATGTGCGTGCACATGTATGAGCGTGTGCATGTGTGTGTGCATGCATAAGTATGCATGATTGTGTGTGGGTGTGGATGTGAGAGTGGATGTTGACTTTTAACCCACGCCAGGCATGCAACCAACTCAGAGCTCAGAACAGGCATTTTCAACTGCAGCTTGGTAAGTGAGATGACGTGAGCTAGGTTGGGAATGGAGGGGAGAGAGCTTGTCCTAGCTGCCACAGAGGGCATTCATATTTACATATACAACAGCTTAAAAAGGCACATGAGAAACCAGCTCGTTGGCAGGCATGAGTTCGTAGACGGTAGTAAACTGCAAGCTTGTTCAATTATTTACGAAGGGTGTCAGCAGCAGCAGCAGCGCATTGCTGCATTTCTTCCCCTGTTTAGGGTGGGGTGGGAGGCGACTGGATCCAAACAGGAGCTGTGAATTGTCCCTTTGCAGCCCTACGGCTACGCGGGGAGAGGGTGGGGGAGAGGGAAGCTGTCAGTGCTCCAGTCATTAGCAGAACCGCAAGCAATCAGCTGCTCCCTCCTCTGCTAAGGCAACTGGAGTTGATTGATTACTTTCTGCTAACGTGATTGCCAATGCTGCAAACAATTTTTTTTTTCCTATGGACAGTTCTCCAGAGAGGCCACAAGTGCAAGGCTACCTGGCGCCTGACTGCCGGAGAGGAAAAAACACACGCTCGCTGGTAAACGGTAGGCTGGTTGGAGTCATGTCCCAATGCAGGCACTCAGAAGGTCGGAGGATCAAGAGGCCCGGTGAACCCTCACCTGCATGACTCTACCGCCCCGCGCTAAATCCCGCTCTCCTTCAGGACGGAGGATGAGAGGCCTGAAATGTTGCCTTAGTGCGAAGGATAGGAATAGCTTCATCTTGGGGCAGCATTTTTGCTGGGTTTGCCTGGTCTCTGCTAATCCAAATCCCTGATAAACAACTGAAATGTCCCATGGTCTTTGGGGCGCATGGTCCAGGCAGGACAGATGATCTAGTCCCAGCTGCCACCAGCTCTCTGCAAAGACATTCAAGGGCAGGATTTACTGAGGGTCCGAAGAAAAGTGCTGGCAGTTGGTGATGGTCAGAAAGTGTCGCAGGGTCTGGGTTTGCAACGGATGACTTTTTTTCTCCCCAAGGCAATTCTGATGTTAAAAACAAATCCCGTTTTCCTCTGTTGAACCGATTGTCACATTAATCATTCCTCCTCAATATGCACAGATAAGCAAGGCCTAGCCATGCATATGCTCTTGCTTTGATCAACTGCTGGGGGCTTCTAAAATATAGAGCAAGGCGAATACCTCAAGAAGAAAACACCTATTTAAGGGGCTTCTACCCTTTGCCTACAGGACAGTGATTTTTTTCTTTCTTTAAATGGCTCCAGACAGATGGAAAGAATGACTGCTGCAATGTTAGGAGATACGGGCTGAACCCCCAGCACCGTGAGCCCGGGACATAGCACCAGTTGTGCACATGTCAACTAGAGATGCATGTTTTCTTGCCACCACTAACTTTTCTTTTCAGAGTTTAAGGTCTTGCAGGCACGAGAGCAAGACTATCATCAATGCAGAAATCCTAATCCTGGTAGGCATTTCTGGACACTGCCATAACTCGTATAAGAAATAGTAACTAGAATAGGGTCCCAGCTCATTTGCATGGCTACCCCAATACATTCACATTGCAAGAGCTGTGACCAAAGAAATGGGAGGTGCATGACGCGACGAGATACGAGAAGAAATGTATGTGGGTCACGTCTTCAGCTATTCCCAAGCAGTTGGGCATCACCCATTCTCTTTCAAACTGACCTTTTCTTGTGCCCTCGCTTCCCAGAAGTGGCCGCTCCGACTCCAGCAGACGTTTCAATCAGAGGCTGGTCTCAAGTGCAGTAAGTGATTTAAAAAACTCACTGAATCAGGAAATGCTCCAAAACTTCAGACTCAGCAGTTCCCATGCCATGTAATAGGAAAAAAAAAATTAAAGAAATATTTGTTTACAGCTCGATGCATTAGCCATGGCAGCGCTGTTGGAAGAAGGGAAAGGATGGGAGAAGGGAAAGTGGCTTGCAGAGGACAAAAATCCCGAACTTTGGAGTGGCAAATAAACTTCGTCATTTCTTTTAAAACAGATGTTTTTGTTTCTTGGCAGGAGGCTACCTTAGCACGCCACCTCCCACTAATTGATTCCCAATCATATTTCCATGAGGTCATTTTATGACAGAGACGCTTCAGGGTGCCTACACCAAGCTGGGGTCTCCGCGCTTGTATTCATCACCACCCAGTGACATCCCAGCAGGGCGCGCATCCTGTGCCATGTTGCTTTGCACAGCAACTCGGGCACCATCCGTCTCCACGTTTGCTGTTTCCGACATCCATGTAAATCTTTGCTTAATGATCCGCTTGGCTGTTTAGCACCGGCATTCTCAACAACCATTTCATTTAATGATCAGTTCTTTTTAATGAAGACTTTAATTATATACAGTTACCACAAGCCCAGTCAACAATCATCTGGCTTTGACTATAAGTAAACACGTTAACAAGAACTACGAGGGCTGTTAAGCGAAGAGAAATTTTGGAGGCTCAGGATTCGGCCAAGGAGGAAGTTGTACCAGAGCCATCTGGGGAAACATATTTAATCGGGCTGTGAAATCAATACCCAGAAGTCAGCCCAGGTGTGTTATTGCACCACAGGAAAGGGTTCATGTACCACAGCAGAGGGGCAAGGTGAGACCCTGAAAGGGAAAATGTCGCTGGATCACTGATAATTTTTTGTATCACAGGACTTAACTGAGACCAGGTCCCTATGGTTGTAGGTAGCATAAAAAAACCGAACAAAACAATAAGAAATACAACCTTTTATAGAATCACAAAAAATGAAGGTTGGGAGGGACCTCAGGAGGTCACATTGAGTCTAACCCCTGCTCCAAGCAGGACCAGCCCCAACTACATCATCCCAGACACGGCTTTGTCTACCCGGGTCTTAAAAACCTCCAAGGATGGAGAGTCCACCACCACCTCTCTGGGTGACCTGTTCCAGTGTTTTACTACCCTCCTAGTGAGAAAGTTTTTCCTAATATCTAACCTAAACGTCCCTTGCTGCAACTTGAGCCCATTGCTCCTTGTCCTGTCATCTGCCCCCACTGAGACCAGTCCAGCTCCATCCTCTTTGCAACCCCCTGCAGGGAGGTGAAGGTGGCTATTCAATCCCCCTCGGTCTTCTCTTCTGCAGACTAAATCAGCCCACTTCCCTCAGCCTCTCCTTATCAGTCATGCCCCTCAGCCCTAACCATTTTTGTTGCCCTCCGCTGGACTCTCTCCATTTTGTCCACATCCTTTCTGTAGTGGGGGCCCACATCTGGCCAGATGTGGCCTCACCAGTATTGAATAGAGGGGAAGAATCACTGCCCTTGACTTGCTGGCAACGCTCCTACCAATGCAGGCTGCTATGCTGTTAGCCTTCTTGGCAACAAGGGCACACTCCTGGCTCATAGTCAGCTTATCCACTTTAACCCCCAGGTCCTTTTCTGCGCAAGTCTCTAAAGACTCAGCAGTCTACATAGAAAACGAAACGGGTGAGAAGGAAAATAGTGGCAATGAGCATTTTTACACGTGGTCCAGGATGTGGTGTAGGGCACTTTAATTAATAAGCCACCCTAATTAAAAGCGCCTGCGCATCATGAGTATGAGTGCCCCCACTCTGAAAAATGGCGGCAGGGCGCTTTGAACTAAAGCTCATCGAACGTGTTTTAGTCCAAAACACCCCATTGCCGTTTTTTCAGCACGGGGACGTAGATGCACGACGCGGAAGGTACCCAACGCGTGGCAATATCCGTGCTCCAGTAGGCTCAATTAAGCTTGATTAATTGAGTCTGCTCCAATGCTCTGGACTTCCAGTGCATCAGAGTAGGCTCCCTGCGTGTCTGCAGGGGCCCAGGGAGACTTGCCTGGAGTTGCAGTGGCAGGGCAATGGCAGAAAACCTAATTCTCTCCCAGTCCAATGCCCTACCCATCCGTGACTTCTATTTAATAAATGAATACTCTCTAGTCTGACCCCCCTCAGCATGTCATGCAGCACAATGCCAGAGGCTTTGGTCCACTCCATTGCTTCCCAGGCTCTCTAAGAAGGGATCTCCACCACGTTTGTCCAGGGAAAAAGGGATCTGTTCACACAAATCTGGATCCTAGAGTCAGGCTTTCTTCCTGGTGTGAGGACCATCATCTCCAAATACTGTATAAGTAGAGAGGGACAAGGGCTTGTGGGATGAGGGCTCTGGGAACTTCAACCTATGAGTATTTGACCTGAGTGCCTCTTAATCCTGTGCAAAAAATAACCGGAAATGGATTCCTGTAGCCCTCAGGGCCAGGACACCTTTCACCCCACTGGGCAACTAGTTACCAAACTGAACTCAGCATTAGGGGCCGTACAACAGCCGTAATCCAGCATAGCCATGAAACCTTCAATGCTCTCCTGTAGTGCAACTAAACCTGGGAGAAATGACTTTTTTTTAACACCTGACCTCACAGCAATGGATCCTGGGGAACATTAATAAATGCCATCACCGTCCGCTGCACCTGCAGCTCAGCCGTGCCCTCAGTGACTATGGGCATGTCCCATATACCATAGAAATTAAGATTATAAATCCCATATAAGGTGCAGCTGCACCTTGAGAGCCACATCTTATGTATGATGGGAGCGGGGTTCCCACGAACTTGAACAGGGCCAGGATTTTACCCGACCTCCCATCAGCTCTGGTTCAAGCAGCTCCCCTGACATCGGCAGAGGTCTTTGCTGATTTACACCAACGTGAGTAAAACCAGAATCTGTTCCAGGCCCTCAAGTGGCCTAAACGTCTGAATCGAACAAGCACTTTACCAGGATATTTAAATGCTCACTTTCAGGCCCCTGTGCACAAGCCTGGCACTAGCGATGCACATTCACACCACTGGAAAACCTCAGATTGTGCAGCATGCTGTTCAGTTTGATGAGCAATCAGTCTGTCATTGGAGCAGACACAGGATGATTTTTACCTGGCAATGCTGCAGCTCTTTCCAGAGCAATAGAGGTCAGAGCAAGCGAATGCAGTGTATATTCACAACTGGCCCTTTTGGAAATGAAATGAGGATTTGCAGGGATTTGAGAATTTACAGTTACGGTACAAAACAGCAGAGTGTTCAATAATGTAACTGCAATATATATCTCAGGCTCCTACTGTAACAGGGTGCATATGGATGCGTGTGCAGGGGGGTGTAATTTAGTTAGGAAGATCAGATTCTTTTTCTCTCAACCTGAGGCACAGATTTCTGGGATTGCAAACAAAAAGTAGGAATGTAAATATTCATTTATGCAATGGAGTGGACTTCAGCTTTCAGTTGCATTCGTGAACTGGTGAGACCACACCTGGAGTCTTGTGTCCAGTTTTGGGTCCCCACTATAGAGAGGATGTGGGCAAGTTGGAGAGAGTCCAGCGATGAGCCACAAAAGTGGTTGGGAGCTGGAGGACATGACTTGTGCAAAGAGGCTGAGGGAACTGGGCTGATTTAGTCTGCAGAAGAGAAGATTGAGGGGGGATTGAATAGCAGCCTTCACCTCCCTGTGGGGGGCTGCAAAGAGGATGGAGCTGGGCTGTTCTCAGTGGGGGCAGATGGCAGAACAAGGAGCAATGGGCTCAAGTTGCTGCGAGGGAAGTTGAGGTTGGATATTAGGACAAACTCTCACTAGGAGGGTGATGAAGCACTGGGACAGATTACCCAGCGAGGTGGTGGACTCGCCATCCTTGGAGGTTTTTAAGGTCTGGCTAGGCAAACCTTTGGCTGGGATGATGTAGTTGGGGATGGTCCTGCTTTGAGCAGGGGGATGGACTAAATGTCACCTCCTGAGGTCCCTTCCAGCCCAAATTTTCTAGGATTCTATTATTCTATGGTTATGACCAGAAACTTTACATTAACGTTAGATATCTGAACCAAACTTAAGTAAAATGGGGAAAAATGGCATGGAAGGCCATATACATGGCTAGAAGGCCAGTCACATTTTGCAGCACCTCTGTAAACACTCCTCCCAATAAAGAGTGAGGTTAGCTTTAAGGCAAAGGCCACTGATGCTATTGCCCAGTATATGTATGGGAAACAACTGACACATCTCCTGTACTCGCAATAAATGTCTGACCATTCACAGAAAGTATTTTGAAACAACCAGAACTGAGATAATGTCGATCTGATTAACACAGAGACTATTCACAAACAGCAAGAGATGGTGTGTCCATTTGGTACTATGTTGTGATTTTAGACAACTTGTAGGGCTAGGAAAATTTTCCTCTAGCAAAACACGCACATTCGGCAATACCAAGACACGTTGCCAATACGCATCAACATTACAAACAGTTTCATTTAGGAGGCATTTAAAAAAATTCAGAGCAGCCAGTGCAGACTTTTTCCCCCCAGCCCAATGCAACATGCCAGTTCTCTGGTTTGAAACAATGATCTTTCCATAGTTCCTATAATTGTGGTAAAAATGTCAAACGCATAACAAAACTCAGGATCAAAATGCAACATCCTGATTTTGCTGCAACAAAACAGTTGGATCAACCTGAAACCACTTTTTTGGGATTTTCAATTTGCTGAGAATATCAACAATTAGGGTTTTATTCCAGCTCAGCCCAGTCACATCGCAATGAAAAAAGCTTTTATCACCTCTTTATGGTCCTCTGGAATGGGTTGATGGGTGGAAATGTTTCATCGCCCTACTCGCTGACCGGATGTACCTGGGACACTGCTGGGAGCACTATCATAATTTGCTCATTGTCCAGGCCAGTAGCAAATTACCCCCTTGGCACAAGAAGGGAAGAGAGAAAAATTGCATCTCAGAGACTTATTTCCAAGTCACAGCGCGTTGCACGTATCACGGCTTGCCTGGTGACACAGCCTCGCTCTTAAGACACGTCTCTGGGAAATATCCAGTACTTTAACCCTAGTCTTTTCAGCAATATTGCTGCAGGGGTTGGAGGACACGGCAAAAATACTCATTAGCATTTAACTTAAGTACTTTGGATTTATTTGCTGACTCATTTTGCATTTCCACTTGGAGCAGGCTTGGAATTAAGTTACTGGAGAACAATGACCACTAAGGGATGGAGATTGCTTTATTTCTGTGTGCCTTAGCAACAGTGATTTCACTTTCCTGTTGCCATAACAACTACGGTATGCACATCAAGGTCACTAAGCCCACTTTGCTGCTTGCCTGTAGCTATGTCTCTGATGGCTTATATGCCTCATTTTTATTGTAGCTTCATACAGGACGACTTGTACGGGGGGAAAAACACTCTCTCATCTTGTGTGTAAACAAGAACACCAGGATGAATATTTATGGAGCTAAGGCCGACCGACAACAGACAAGACACGGATGGGAAATGCTCGTGACGTCTCCAACGTAAAAACCCCTTTCATAAACGCCCGATCCCACATATTTCACGCGTGTAAAGGGGCCGAGTTAGGAGACAGATTGTACATCTCACTCATTACGAGGTGAGGAAAGGAGTGGAGAAGCTGAACGCCGCAAAATTAAAACCGGTTTGCGTCCCCATGCACCTGCGCGTGCAAACACGGCACTAGGAAATGGTCAGCCTGGAATATGATTTTAGAGACTGAAAGGACCAGAGGGTGAATAAATATAACTCTAGTGGCTTTACACTGGGCAAGTGTTGGGGCTGCTTCACTCCAAAGGGATCTTATAAGAGCCATGGACCAACTTCTCCCTGGAGGAAAGGGGAAACAAAAAGCAAAAAGTCCATCATTAAGATGACTGGCAGATAAGCTCTGCAATTGTCCTAAGGAAGACTACAGCGATACTCTCACTGGTTTTTAATAATTAGGAAACACACACACAAACCCCAGCGCATACCAACGATATGCCTTTCAACACCGAACCCGATAATCATTGAAGCTGACGGGAGTCTTTGCACAGGCTTCTGAGAGCCTCGACTTAAAAGGCAACTTCAAAAACCTGCAACTTCACTTTCCTCCAAAAAAAAGTGTAAAGGATTTGAGTGGACGTGTGTGATTTCACGGCATGCTCATTGCATACTGCAGTTCTCAGCATATTAAAGACTTTTCCCCTTCTCCACTGTTGCAAGAAAAAAAAAATCTCAATTACATGCATCTGTTTCATCCATCAGCTGAAGTCACTTCCAGGGGAGAGTTCAAGCTTCTATGTTACCGCAGCAAATTTTTCTGCCGAGTTACAGAAGGGAGGAAATAATTATCATGATCTGAAGATAAATAACTGCACTCGCTCTCCTTACAGCTTCCTAATTACAGCAACTGGTGAATGACAGATTTTGATTTTCATCTGTCAGCCTGATAGCAAGAGACACGGGGGGGGGGGGGGGGGGGG